ACCTTTCACCCGACTTTTTTTTTTTGTGCGACAAGGCGTGGAGATTGATCAGATTGGTAATAACCTTCAAGACTGAGAAAGGATTCAGAGGGAATGAACGGAGCAGGATTAACACAGAAATACCCCTGGTCAACCACCCTTCGCCCGACCTTTTTTTTTTTTTTTTTGCGACAAGGCGTGGAGATTGATCAGATTGGTAATAAACTCCAGGACTGAGGGACAATTCTAGTACCCGGGTGAGAAAGTGAATGTAACAGAATTATTAAAAAAAAAATACTTGAACCCGGATCAATGACTAAAATAATGAATCAGGAATAATAGAGAAATGTTCAGGTCCCAGACGATCTCGTCTCGTAAGAAAACTAGACAACAAGATAACAATGATCACTTTCTTCGAAACTCACCAGGATAATATTTATCGTCAGGTACGGGCTTGGAACAGCTAATCCAAAAATGAAATGGCACTCGGTTTCGGTACACGGTAATTCACTCGGTACGGACGGTCACACTTATTTACTCACTATACCGATCTATCAATCTATCCCTGTTAGTCTCAGGAAAATACCTTTTATAGTTTTACTCAAGGTCATGTCATTTCTGAAAAACACCGAGGCCAGTACGCCAAAGCTACTAAGAAAGAGGTACAAAAACAACGAGGTCAATAGATGAAAAACTATGTACAAACACACTCGACTCGGGAGCGATAAAAACTGTCGAACTGCACCAAGATCCACGCAAAAAATATAGACCATGACTCTAAGCGTTTCATTTTTCCAGGTCACAAACAAGACAATACTTATGTCCAAATAATAAAAAAAACAATTCGTACTGGATAACAAAACTATTCAATTCTACACTGAATGCAATCACTATCAATAATATGAATAGGGTAGTAACGAAGCATTCCCTGATAATTCCGGAATGATTTATGAAAAATGGGAAACAAACTATTTATCATATACACTGCTCAACAATAGACATAAGAAGATACACTGCTCAACCATAGGAATGGCACTAATTCTCGTTAAACGGCAAGAAGTAAAATAAATGCTTCGTTACAACAATCCAATGAGTTTTGAAAGGACATATGCCAAGCCTCTAAAGAATTGTTGGTGGTAGGCAAATTTCTTAATGATCTTTCGGAAAGGTTCCACATTTCAACTTTGAACCTTGGTTCACTTTCCCAGTAGTCTACAATTGGTCTCAACTCTTGTTGGAAATTTTCTGTTATGATTTCCAGTGCAAATTGGACGTCTTTTATTGGTACATAAGCCAAGGAGGCCAGCATTTTGCACTCTTGTTTCTTCGGAAGACCTATAGCGTTCAGTTAATCCAAAATGTTGGATTTGGCGCCACAGATTCTGAGTAAGATGGAAGAAACATCCTACAATTTCCACGCCTGGAAATAATTTGGAAAACGCAGAAAAAGATGCCACTTCAAAGTCAACCAATATACTTTCTGGCTTTAGGTTGGGCAGGAATTCTGACAACTTTGCAAGAAGTCTTTCATAAGTATTCATTTGTTTGTTTTCCAGTAGTGCAAAAACAACCGGTATCGCCTTTTTCTCGATGAAGACATGAATGGTGAACAACTGGCTAAACAGTACCTGGGGTGCAACATTGAAGGTTCCATCAGCAGCCCAGTGAGGAAACTCAAGCAATAAATTCAAGTTATTTCTTGTGCCAAGCATCAATATTCGACTTTTCTCCTTCTCTCCGTTGTGAGAGTCCCATAAAAAAATGATTCTCCTCTCCCTGTTTTTAAGTTTTCGAGATTTTCGATTTCTGAATCAGATTTCCTCTGGCGATGCACACTTTTTCTATTCGCGTCATAGCTTGGGTATAATATTGAAGCTTCTACAGATACATTTTCATAAGAATTTTGTATGATATTTCTCGGCTTAAGGGGTGTTGCTCGAGCGAGATCCTTTATTTTACTCTTTACTAAATTTACCTGCTCCATAGCGGGATTTGGACCATGATTGTGAGGAGTTCTGATCGATTTAGTGTTTTCACTACAAACCAAGCGACCCTTACACCTAGCTGTGGTACATCTCCATGATATGGATTTAGAATTGGCTCGGTCTTTTCTGTACCGGAAACCTTCATGGAAAAGAATGTCTCCACCTTTTTGTGATTTTTGCATTTTGACTACTTATATCTGACAGTGACAGATAGCAATCACATGAACTCCTTGATTGAAACTGGTCAAGATGCATAAATGATTATACAACTCCACCCAGAACTATACTGGGTTACATTGAATTGCGCTATTTTGTCAATGCGCTATTAACTCTATGCGATATTCTGTCCTGATGCGCTATTTTATCTATGCGATATTATGTCCCTGCGCTATTATGACCCTGCGCTATTTTGTCTCTGCGCTATTTCGTCTCTGCGCTATTTCGTCTCTGCGCTATTTCGTCTCTGCGCTATTTCGTCTCTGCGCTATTTCGTCTCTGCGCTATTTCGTCCCTGCGCTATTTTGTCCTGCGCTCTTTTGTCCGCGCTATTTTGTCCTGCGCTATTTCATCCCAGTGCCGGTACCTACCTTTTGAAATGATGGCATGAAATTCCTAGGACTTGTTCACAACATTGTCCTAAGTTATCTGAGATATAGAAAGGTCCTGAAATGTAATCAAAGAAAATAAAATGGTGTCCTTGCCAATTAGATCTGTAATATTACACCAGAATCAACATCGATTATCTATAAGTTATTCACCATCCTACATTGCGTTATCATCAGTTATTTGCGAAGTGATGGAAAAAGCCATCAACAGTGAACTTATCAAACAGCCGTAGAGCTCAGGATTCAGGAATCATAAATGATCGACAATAAATTGGGAATTTAGTGACTTCACCCATATTTAGCAAGTTTGAAAAACAGCCCAGGCTGAACTTCGCCCTTCATCAATGCATTATCAAACACTCTCAATCTTGATGCAATTTGTAGTTTGTAATTTGTAACTGATGAATAAAGACCATTATTATTATTATTATTATTATTATTATTATTATTAAAAACATGGTGTGGCGTTAGATATATCGAAAGCATTCCACCGTATTTAGCACCAAGGATTCCTTCACAAACAACTATCACATGGCTTACCACTTCAGCTATGCCTTTTTGTGACAAGTTTTCTTTCAGAAAGATCATTGCTCCATGTGGTGGAAGTCGCAATATTGTCTGCTACCATAACAATCAATTTGGGCGTCCCACAAGGATCAGGATCCATTATAGCACCAACCTACTCCACATCTATGATATGATGCCCTACCCCAGGTTTGTAGATGACAGTATACTCCATACTGCCTTCTCTTTCAGAATTCCCATTTCATCCGAGGAAACTAAGAATTCACGGCGAAGGCAGGCAACCTAGTTGAATTCAACCCCACCAAAACTCAAGCTTTTATTCTCTTTAGAAAAGCCGAACTCAGTATCTCTGATATGGCATTGTCTGGTACCACCATTCCCACTTATCCACTATATCCATGCTCGATATTTCCATCAATTATACGCATTCATGATCAGATCCGTGCGAAAGCTACTTTACAAAAATTCGGATTTTAATCTCGAGTGAAAAGCTACTTCACACCTCAACAACTGCTCTCATGATCTACAAGGCACAGATTCGGCCACTTCTGGAATACTGTTGCTATTGTTCCAGAGACAACCAATCATCTGGTTGGTGCGATGCCACACTTACTTTTTCCTTGACATCATCAGAACGCCGCATGAAGGTCGGCGAACTTTCATTTTTCTATAGATCCTTCCATTGGAAATGTTATTCAAAAATCTTGAGTATCATACCATTACAAACAATACCAATCAGACGAAATCGACAAGGCCAGTAAGCACATCATTTGTCACCAACCTAATAGATATGTCGGACAACTCTCTATCAATTCTCGATTGTTCAGGAACGGCGAAGCTTTGGAATTTTTCACCAAACTGAAGTATTTCCAAGAATGTTTAACCTCCTAGAGTTGAACATTTTCAGTACCTACCTTCTCTCTCGAACATAATCGGAGTACGCTTTCACTGTTAACTCTTTCCTCCATAGAATGAAAATACTTTGGAAATCTTTGCCAGAGGAAATATTCTCAAGAACTAACAACCGTTGGTACGGGGCCATCAAGAAAAGGACACTCCGGGCTACGGTTTTCCGACGGTCAATCAGCCGGCATTCATTCCCTTGATGGGCTTTCAAATCCCCAAACTGGCATAGGAACGATCGAAATATAAAAATAATAATAATAATAATGGATGAGATTGTGATAAGATGTTCATTTTGAAGGTTAACCTCATACATTGTCGTGACCTGGTAGCGCTGAAGGTCCATTCTCCAAGTTTCCTACCCATTCAGTCATATTTTTGCAACGGCTATATCTTTGAAACTCATTTAATCTCTATGAGAACATGACTAGATACTCGTATTAGTATAACTCATGAAGTAACTAGCACTGAGATGTAAACGGATCGAAACGGATAAGAAAATATTTCATACTATGATATATTTTGATAATAATATTTCAACTAATACTTTGATATTCCAAGAAAAATATACATTTTGCTCAGGATTAAGGTATACCTTTATTTTTGACGATATCGAAAATTATCATATAGAAAAGTTGAATAGAATGAAAACTACGTTCAAATTTCGAAAAAATCGAGGAAAGAAGCAATTTTTGTTCAGTCATATATGTCAAAAAATCTCAAAGGATTCGTACAGAATGATAAAACCAGATTTTTATTATGGGCAACGAATGTTATTAGATATTTGAACGTAGTTTTCAATTCTAGTCAACCTTATTTGATAATGATTTACGATAGGTATTGTAGAAATGAAAGGTACTTTACTCTTAAGCAAAATTAATGTTCGCCTGGAACATATAGGCGTGGTTGAATGCGCAGCATTGGCCTTCCTAAAGATTGAGTAAACAAAGTTGTTGAATTTCCCGGCAACACCAAAGTCAATGAAACGATGGAGGCCCAATACCTATTCGCTCCACTGGCTAAGTGACTAGAATGTTAAAGGCCAACAGATTTTTGCTGTTGGAGTCATTTCCCCAGCAAAGACAGCATTGGGCCAATAACTTCCCGGTAGTTAATTGCTTGTTGGACCTCCTCTTCCTATTTCTAGGTGCCCACGATGTTCCTCGAGCATACTAGGGATTCCCTTTCGTGCGCTCTGAAAGATAAAAAACTCAAAATCTACTAATATAGTTCAATGTTAAGTCAATGTAATTTATAGGAATGCCTCAAATAGCTGTCTATTTTCTTTAATGTTTTCCTACATGAATAAAGCCAGGAAATACAAAGGCTTGTACGGAATAAAGCTGACGCTGAACATCCATCAAAAAAGTTCGGACGGTGAAAAGGAGCGATTGGAGGAAATTAGTGAGGAAGTGAGGGCTCATGAAATACCTACTAGCCAAAGAAACATTAAAAAAAGGGTTTCTCAAAGGAATGAGGCGAAACCCTGTGCCAAAACAAGATTAACGTTTTAAAAATGCTATTAGAAGCACACTTTCTGAGCTTACTGATTCTGATAAATTGGACAGGATCCATTAGCTTCAGATTGAGAGCTCCCAGCCAGAGTAACCCGACCAGGCAGAATCAGATGAGCTAGAAGAATAGGGTGTACAGTGCATCCCATTTTGGTTGAGATTGACAAGTTTCTCGGTTGCTTTAGAAGATAGAATCTTGCGGATTTCACGTTCCTGTCATACTTTTCTGTGCAACTCCAGATGATCTGATCATATTTTCAATAACTGTCTCAGTTCATAAGATACAGGCCGATTTCGAACATTTATACTTTTTAAAAACCTCCAATATCAAAGAAGTTATTGAAAATAATATCGCGCCAAGTACTACGTCCAACAGAGAATTTTGCGCAGAATCCAGTGGCTACTTGACTTGACAGATGCAACCGTGAATTAGGGAAAGATACGTGGAAATAACAGTTGTTTTAGGATAGCAGTTGAGAGCCATCTGAATTGATATGATGTGTCGACATTATAAAAATATGAACTGTGAATGGGGAAGTTTCCTTCAGTCGAATGTTCAAAAAATAGGTTCGGAACTCCTCAGTTTTATGTCCACGCTGTACAGAATGGCGATCAAGAGTCCAAGTCTAAGTCGTTTATATTTTCAAAATAAAGCAATTTATACTTTTCGGGGCGACAAACTATGATGTATATTATGAATCTAGTCTGAATGTATCTGATGATGAAGAATATAGCTAGCAAACAGCTAACGGATGAAAAACGAATAAAAAAAATAGAAGAAAAGAGAAGACAACTTGGTGTAGTTGTTGATTATACCATGAGAAATAATGATGATCAACTAGGTAACTAGCAAAACAACTATAAACTGTAGACATGGGCTAACGAATAACTTGAGATCAAAAATCGACACAAAAGTAAAACTAGTTAACAAGAAGTCAGTATTTTTTGTGGCGTGGACGGGCTGTCAGATATAATCTGTAACTTTTCTATGAAATAGATATCCGTTTCATCAAGAAACGAATTCATGCTATTATACTGATACTATGATACTATTGCAGAATATCATAATTTATCTTTATCACTAATCAACTTCATCCAACAAATAGATTTAAGAGAATTATTCATAATACTCGACGAAGTAGGGCTAAAAAACCTATTATATCTCATTGCTGTTATGATATATTTATAATGTATTCAAAGAACAATTTCCGGAAATCTAGACATACTGATAATGGCGGCAAAGTCGTTCCTACTGACACAGGAAATCGTATTTTACTTCTGTGAATGTAGCTTTTCAAAAAGTATGTTATACGAATGATGAAGAAGCCAAGTTCCTTTTTCATTAATTTTTTTCTGAAGTGAAATTTGATCTCACAAGGAAAAGAAAAAATACGTAAGTATATATTAAATTATTACAAACTTCAAGATAAATGCCTCAATACTTATTGAAAACTTCCCATTTGTTTATATTATACAGGCTGTCCCACTAAGGTCGGCGAGGTACGATATTACGGAAGCCATTAACTTTACAGCTTCGGGAAAAAAAATTATTGATGAAATTGGCAAAGAGAAATTGATTTAAAATATTTTCAAGTTTCTCAAATGATCGGTAGGGGGCGAAGTTACCATGATAAAACAAGAAATTCAAATTATCTCAGGAAATCGCTCGGTGAGGTACTATTTTGATAACGGAAATGAAAAGATCATTAATTTTGGGTCAGGTTGGTGTATGGACTTTTTTTCGTATCTTGAATAATAATGGTGGGGGAAGCTTGTGAACAAAATATTTTTTGAATTGCTGTATCTTCCATACCCTCCATCCAAATTTAATCAACTTGGGCTCGTTTGAAAGATAATTTCACTCTTATTTCAAAACTGACTTTGTTCATGGTCGCTAGTTCACACCGCGTCTTATAGAGGGCGCAGTTTACTAACTATTATTTTTTTTTTCGATTTTTCTCGAAAAATTCAAATGGAATGATACATGTTCACATCATTTGTTTGAAAGAGCATCAAAATAGCTACATTTTAGCGGAAACCGCGATTCGATGTCTTCATTTGTCTTCGAGTTATTCACGAATAACTAATTTTTATGTATGGTATCTTCAGTGAGTGGGCCTTGCGAACAAAATAATTTATTATAATCCTAATTCTTTGTCTAGTAGTGAAAAAGGTTATCCTTACATTCCTTAACCTCTTGTTGCATTTGTGCATTGGATTAATATTTAAATGCCACTTATTTCAGAAACAAAAATGTAGACTATGTCAATAATTATTGAACTGCAATAACGAAAATTATAATTTATTCAGGAAATTCGACATAAACGACATCTTCATCTTCATCATCATATTCATGATTTCTGCAGTAGTTGGACGAGTTTGAAAAACAATGCCCCATAAATAAAAATCAAGCACAGTGAGATCCGGGGATCTAGGCGGCCATGGAAACAAACCTCCTCGTCCGACCCAGCGGTTCGGGTATCTTTGGTCCAAAAAGTCACGAACTACCCGAGAATAGTGTGCAGGACACCCATCATGCTGAAACCACATGTCCCTCCTCATTAATAATGGAACATCTTCGAGTAGAAGAGGCAATTGGTTCCTCAAAAATTCTAAATAAATATTTCCACTCAAATGTTCATCGATGAAAAACGGGCCTATAATCCGACCGTGGAAAATGCCACACCACACATTAATACTCCATCGGTTTTGATGGTCAACTTCACGCATCCAGTGGGGATTATCAGCGGACCAGTGATGCATGTTATGCAAATTGACTCCTCCATTACTTGAGAAAGTAGCTTCATCAGTCCACAATATGCGTGACAAAAAATTCTGTTCTTCGCCAATCATATTTCTTAGCCAATAGCAGTAATCTAGTCTACGTTCAAAATCCAATTCCGATAGGGCCTGATGTAATTTTACGTGATATGGATGGAAGTTATGGTCCATTAAAATCCTATGTACCGATGTTCTACTAATTCCTAAGTCACGTGCAATTGTCCTTGTGCTAGAATCAGGACTTACCTGGACGTAGGCAAGAACATTAATAATATTATTTTCATTCCTAATGTTCCGATTTTGTATTGGTGGTGGAATAGGATGCACCTGTCCTGTCTCCCGCAGTCGTCTACCCAATCGAGAAAATACTCTTCTAGTAAAATGTCTCCTATCAGGATAGTTAGCTGCGTAGTATACTCGTTCTGCCACAGCAACATTTTCGAAACATTGAAAATAAACCGCCAACATATCATAGGCTTCCGCGGTAGAATAAGACATTTTTAAATGAATTTCAAATGCACAAATGTCAGAATACCTCAATATGAAGGTTGCCTGGCAACCAGCTCAGTTGACGTTCAATTATTTTCACAGATATCATGATTGAAGTGAATAAATAGTGTATTCTTTTTAAGAAATGAATATGGGTGACCTTAATGGACGAGTAGATCAAAACGAAGGATTAGAAGAATGTATATATAAATATATCCGTTTTTGCATGTTCATAATATATCTGAGAGTATTCCTTTGAAAAACAGGTCCTCTGTAAAATATTTATGTATAGACATAATGCGTGATGAATGTCATTGCAGAGTATTAGTTGATCCAGGAGCAGCCATATCAACAATGAATCAAACATTTATTTTAACTATAAGTTGAGAAAACATAACATAGTTATTGGAGGTTTTCACGGACACTGTGTACCACCACTAGGTTATTTCAAATCTGTAGTTTTTGTTCTAAAATTGTTGTTGTTCTAAAATTGTTCTTGTCCATCATTCGCTTACTCCCTTACGAGCAGTCTTCAAGAGACTAGTGCGAGCAAGGAATGACGGAGGTATCACCTTTTAACGTGTGATCCGAAACACTTTCTTAAGCCATCAGAAAATTCTCTGTGGCCGTGGTGGCAATCGAATCCACTTACCGGCAATCCAACATTGAAAGAAACTGAAAATTCTACCACGAGGCTACGCTGGCCACCAATGTAGACATTAAGAATGTGAAAAAGGTAATAAAATTGTATGTTTTTGATAGTGACAGACCTAGTTCAGTAGGCCAAGAATCTTTGAGAGCTATAACATAACATTAGAGATGGTTGACATTCAAAAAGTAGAGATAATGGAACTGGAAATCATAAATTAATTCCCAGATGATTTTAGTGATAGAGTAGGAGAGTATAATTTTGGAAATATAAGTTCACCTCTCAAACTTGATACTAAAACAGTTTCCCTAAAACCTAGGCCAGTACTCAATTCATTTCGAGGACTGATTGAGGAGTTGAAAAAGTTAACGGAAAGTGGGGTGATCGAACTAAATATGAAAATTTCTTGGGGGACCCCTTATAGTTCAAGTCATTAAACCAGATGAAAGCACCATCAACAAGTACTTTGAAAATTTACAATTTCCTCTGCCTCGAATTAAAGTAGTGTTCCAGTCTTTGAATGGAGGGAGTATACTTTCACCAAGTTGTATCTCAACAAAGCCTGCACCCAATTGGAATTGGACGAAAAATCACAACTTGGAGTACACAAAAAGGTTTATTTAAAATGAAGAGAATACCTTATGACATATCACCTGCTATATTCCAACAAAAATCGGAACAACTATTCCAAGGACTAGATGGGGTTGCTAATTACCTAGACGATATAGTGGTAACAGGTAAAACACATGAAGAGCATCCTAA